ATGGTCTTCAGAGATGAGGGCGATGTCATTTGCCTACTCCAGATCGACAAGACTCTCATCAGCAACAATTTGAACACCGGGGTTTTGAAAACTGCCCAAGTGTAACTCAGTGGGTCGCTTAGGTGCGCAAACGGTCACACCACGGTAAGGTCTAGTCTCTTCGTGACGGAGTACTGGTCACCAAAAATTCAAACGACAAAAGACGTATGGGAGTGGACCGGTAATCAGTTCACATACCTAAACGCTTATCCGTTATCACGATTAGATAAAATACTTGAATGAATGTGAAGCTGTGCTGTGTTTGGTACCTTAAACTTATTGAATGGTCATCAGCAAGTTCCAATCTTTACGAAGGATGAACCGCAAACCGGTTTTCGAGCATGCGTAGAGTTGTTTCAGTTCTGTCACATCCCCATCGGTGCATTGAACCGAATGGCATGCGTCCAGCTTACTACTGACTGCGTGATTAGGGCATTTCTGTGATTGTTGTTACCAATTCGTGAGTTGAGTCCCTGGGTCCACATCCAGGGCGGCAGCAGTTGTCGACATCACTCAGTTTATTGGTTGATGTTTTCATACTTTGTTGCCAGGTCATACACTGTCCAACCTTCCGTCACTTTCACTCAACACAGGGCTGGGCAGAAAGAGCTCTGTGAAGCAGGCGACCCTCTGGCATGCGAAGCACATTTCATAAGCAGCATGACCTATGAAGGGTGGGTAATTCACCAATCGCGAGAGAGTTTCTGCTCCCTAAGACCATCTGACATACCTCAGCTTTATAATGCGATGATCCCACCGGACCCGACCAATGCTTCGGGGACACCAATGGTCCAAAACTGACATCTTTCAAATCTTCTATGCACGTAGAGGCTACGTCTCTGATCCATAGAGCAGTACGGAACACACTGCTGCAGTGTAAATCTACCCTTGACAGACAAACTGACGTCACGTCGGCGCTGCTCCAGAATTCCCGATTCGAGAAGTAATCTCATCTCCAGCCACTCGACCAGAACTTATGTAACTACCACGCTAAAGAAATTTACGACGTCGATTGGCTCCAACGCAGTATTGCTGCAGCCCTTTGCACTTTGTTGGTGTGGAGCGCACGCCTAGTCGTGTGACGAAGTTATTTATGTTATTTTGGGTGGTTTGCATTTTTAAAGGATCTAAACCAAGAAGAGCGATGTCTCGGGAGCAATTCGACCCTCAAGCTTTCAGAGACAAGTGGAGAAACTTCAAGCAACACATCATTGACAGGTTTGAAAAGAAAAGATGAGAGATCAGCCTTATCTTGCACCATTCTTCCAATCTTTCATCTGTAGCACTATTCTGGTGCCTAATTGCCATGCTAGCCGAAGGTTGCATGAGGGCTGGGATACTGCCAGGTCGCCCAAGTATAGACAAGGGAAGTCGAGAGGCAGAGATCGGGTTCGAACCACAGACCTTCCGATCAGTAAGTTCGCGCTCTAGCCACTTGGGCCATCTCGCCTCTCTTACACCATTGGACGTGGTGAACTAAGGCGGAAGCTTTTCGTATACCCTTAGCTGTTAACAGGAGTTCGAATAAACTGTCCTCATAAGGGATGTTAATTTGGACTCACTTACTCGCCAGACACTGCCAAATTTTCCTGACAATTGACAGAATCAGAAGCCGCTTTCATATCCAGAAAAACGGTGAACGTTACGACTGAAGTCAGACTGATTCTTCTGTGATTGTCATACCCACTATGGGTATGGGTATTACCTTTGATTCTCGTGTGTTGTGTGGGTCAGACTTCTGTCCGGAAATGGAGGCAACTAAATTAGTCAAGCGGTAGCTTAACCCCTATCCTTGTTGAATGCAAGTTGGAGATCATCTGGATTTGGAATTCAGTGGCACTTGAGTCAACGTACGCTAACATAAACCTCTTAGGCCTCATGGCTTTCCACGTTCACCGTTCAGGATTCTAGTGCAGTTGCCCGATTCAACTGAGTGGCTATGGATGTCTATGAGAGTTGTTCGGTGCTTGGCCCAGCGATCGGGCGTTTCCCCTATTCAAGGTGGTCGCCACCTTGATCCTTGATGCTTTCGCTCACAGGCGGCTTTCGTGGAACCGTCGCGCGGTGTTCACGACTTTCTGCGCCATTCTATTTCCTTATTCCGCGTCCACCAAGTTTCACGATTGGCATGCTTGCTCAGTCCTACTTCGTGTCTGATACTTTTTCGTACTGTATCATGTTTTGGGTTGTGGGGAACATTTCTTTGAGATTCAAGCAGTGCCACTGTTCTGTCTAATATTCAGTGCCTGAGCGGTTGGGAGGGAGTTAAGAAGACGTTTCCGATAGATTCGTTTAACCGTGAGATATGTCAACCTTTCAGCTTACAAAATTGCGGTGCGTTGTACGTTTTTAGAGTTAGGGGTCTAACTATCGCGAGTGGAAGCTGTTAAACTCTCCATGACAATCGTCATTGTTGTGGTTTGGTGTGAACAGCATATCAGGATACTTAAACATTTTGAATGGCTTTTAAAGGAACTATCCAACACATGATGGTTTTAGTGACTGCACTTCATAGATAATGAAACCCACCTCATACTTCGCAAACCGGCTATCCTGAAAAACCCTCAATCAGTGCAGCATGAAGTCGCTTTGGGGAAGGCTAGGTCATAAATTGCCGGTGGGTCCCGTAGGTCGTGCTAACTTATAGCTTGTGCGCATCTAGGCTAATGCCTCAAATGCGTGACGATTCCCTCTTATGCCGACACTAATAAAAAAAGTAAGTTGGCTGAAATAGCATTGGACACAGTTTGTTTATCCACCTGATCAATATGTACCTTTTTCATGATAGCTCCTTCTTTGATTACTGGGGATTTCGATTAACTGTTGCACTAAAATATCGATTTTCGTATTCGCATTAGGCTAGTTTACATGTGGCTCACTGGTATCCGATGCAGATTCGCCTGTTAACAACAGTTGGGGGCGATATGGACAAAGTGGTTAGAGCGCGAATTTACTGGCCGGAAGGTCCGTGGTTCAAACCCGACCTCCGCCTCTCGACCTCCCCTGTCTGGGCTCGGGCAACCTGGCAGTATCCCAGCCCTCGTGCTTCCTTCATGTGGCATGGCAGCTAGGCACCGAAAGCGTGCCACAGCTGAACGTCAACGACACTAATAAAGTGGTACTCAAAGGTAAACATGTATTCACGCCTAACTACCTTGTGTATGATTTACAATGGACAACTGCCTCCTACCACTTTTTTGCATCTCCAATGAACAAACTTGTAACTGAAACCACTATATACGCGCACCATCCTATTCGGTGATAGTAACAAGAACAACCATCCTTGTATTTGTGTTACCAGATCCTAGATTAACATGACGTTAGCATTGTATACTGGTATGCGGCCGTTCACGATGAGAACAAGGTAATCAAGCAAATCCCATGTACTTCTGGTCCTCAAATCAAAGGGAGTTCTCTAAGGCTTTGTGATGCGGTTGTTATCGGAATAATCCTAGAGACCATGGAGCCGTATTAATTTCAAAGGATCACTCTATATCTCACTCTCATGTGGTAGCTATTTGTGTGACATCCAAGCTAAGTTCTGGTTTCCTGTAACAAGTTAATGAAAAGGAGTTTCGTATGATTCTTTTATTCCCCCAGCTTTACACAACACTAGAAGCTTCCCGAACGTCCTCAACTCTACAGTGCCATTTGTGAATGCTGCTATTTAGCCGTATCTTCGGCTGCTTCATCAAATAGTAAGTATTTCATTTATTTATTTGTTACTGCCCGGACAGCTCGGGTGTAAGTTAATTACAGTCGAGCCTGTGAATTACGGTTTATGTTTAACTGATGCAGCATATGGATGTAACATATTTGAAAATCTGGGATGAAGTTTCATCAGTCTTTGTTGGACTTCTGCAGCGAATTTTGTCTATGGCAAAGAGGTACTCCGGTTACCTGAAGTTGTTTTTCGTATTTTTGCCCGTAATTCGTCTCGCCAATATTAATTTATGGGCGAATCAGTCTTGCCATCGGTTTATTTTACCCCTCGAGACGAAGCAGGCAGATTGTTGTAAACTAGGTATTTTGGTTAGGCTTATTGGCGACGTTCTTGCGATGTTTTGGCTTCCGTTTATATGGCTCCTGAAACCCCTAAAAACATCCCCATTTTCGAATAGCTTGTCGATTTTGCAAGACGCGTTCCAAATTAAGAACGACAGCATTTAAATTCTCGATATCACCAGGACTACCTTGATTAGTGGAGAGGTGAGAAACTCCAAGCACATGGTGTACTGCAAACGAATGATGCGGAGTTCCTATAGGGCCACTCAGATCTCGGGCGTCTATGCCACATATAAATAAAAAATAAAGATAGCCCTCTAGCTGTAACATCCTTTCTGTGCCTAGCTATCATGCCACCCGAAGGAAACACGGCTACTGGAATACTGCCAGGTTGCCAAAGCCTAGGCAGAAGTCGAGATGTAGAGGTCGGGTTTGCAACCCGGACCTTCCAGTCAGTAAATTCGTTCTCTAACCACTGAGACATCTCTCTCATATAAGTAGTTAATATTAGTCACGAGTCTTAGCACCTGACATAGGCAGCCAAATCTCACCACCAGCAGAGCCTGCAACATGAAGCGCTACAGAGCGGTGACTGTAATTTCGCCTTGGAGAACCGCGTTCCTTCCCGCCAAAATTACACTCCATCCTGTCATCAAATATTTTATTTGCTGTTTGGCATATTTCACTCCTCGGTGATGTGGCTCATGGTGATGGTATTATGTTCCCTCCATCTTATCGCACCGCAGGCTTGGATAATAATGTACCAGCACAACCTACTATGTCCGCTAATTTCGCCTACTTGGATACATGCTCAATCGAATCAATATTTTTTTATTTCGAAGTGTCCCCGGAGGTTTGGCTAAGAAATTACGCACGATCGTTCTGGATTCGTCTCATTGCGAATGCGGTCCCAAACGGACACCATTTATAACTAATCTTCTTACTTCAATTTGTTTTCCTATTTTGTACAGACTCGTATGTTGTATTATGAGCGAGGTTTATGACCACCTCAATGTGTCAGTCATTTGAGCTGCAGGCAGCTCAGTGGTTAAGGCGCGAAATTACTGGCCGGAGGTCCGTGGTTCGAACCCAACCTCTGCATCTCGACTCCTCCTGTTTGAGCTTGGATAACCTGACAGTACCTCAGCCTTCGTCTGACATGGCATAGCAGCTAAGCACCGGAAGGACGTTGCAGCTGAACGAATATTATCCCTATCGTTATTATTATTATCATTATTATGATTATTGTACCTGGCCACATTGCATAGGTTGAGCTTGTTGGGCCAATCTGCTACGAATATCAGAGGGCTTTTCGCTTCGTGATCCTAAGCCAAGCAGCGCTTGATCGCCTGTGGCCTACCCCCGGTCAAATGAAATCACACTGCTTGATTTGACTAATCATGGTGGTCAAGCGCCATTATGTATTACTGGTGTCAGCCAATTCACAGCGGAGGGTGCACGCCGTCACCTCTCACAACAAAATTTATTCAGATTGTCTGGGAACTTGATGTCACATAGGCTAGCCCACACATTCCCCGGGTGTCACAGGAAACCTACGTTTGGAAGCAGCCGACAACGCAAAAGTCCCAGTAGTCTGACTAGTGAGACTGGTTGACCATGGTTCCCTGGGGTCCAGCGAACGAAACATTCCGACTATCCAAGTGCGAACTTGGTTGTTTCTCATACCACTCGCTGGCGTCAGTCTGTAAGGTGTACTTGCTCACGTCTTTGGTCTATTCACCTATCATTAGTTTCGCTGTTTTATTTACATTTCTGTAGACCAACTCTTCCCTAGATTGAACTTTAAGCAAACCATGTGCGAGTGACTTACCCTATACTTTTGGGCCACTTTTAACTTAATGAACGTTCTGTTAACCCTCGCTCACAACTCATCGGTGCTTATATTTAATGGTACGATCTTACCGACCCGTGTTGTTTCACCGAGTACATCATCAAATAGGCCTGATTATCTCTATTCCAATTTTGAATTAATGAGAAGGGGTCAAAATATCCAAGTTAAAACTGGTTGGATTTAAGAAATAATGCATTTCGTTGAGACAGCAAGAAACCATAACTCACGGGGTGTGGACATTGCATTTCATTTTTTCGGTTGTGGACCCAAAGCAATTGTTCTTTATATGACATACAGCTGCAAGCAGCCGAAGAGATGACACGTTCGGCGAACTACGATCATTTGCAAACTACCTTGTTGTCAAGGTGACCAAACTGAGTCTATCGTGTATAGCGTTTCCAACTGAGTATGCTGCACAAAAATCTCTCCATCATCCGGTTGGTGCGGTATTCAAAGCGTCAACGTTTATTTTTTTGCATAACACCACATGTACGGTTGCGGAAATCTTCTACGGCTCACTGCCGGTTTTGCCCTTGAGGTTTGTTATTTGAGAGAAACCGGGGGCGGGTTTCCAGGGTTTTGCGTCAGGAGAACGATACGTTGTCCAAAGAGCGACGGACTGGGGAAATGCCAGTTTGAGTAGACAGGAGTTTCTAGTCAATATCTCCGTGCACACAAGGCCTCTCATCTAGTCTTGGTTAGTCACCTTACTGATTGCTAGCAACCTTTACTTTCGATTAAGCAGCTAGATTGAAAATGAGTTACCCGAGTTACGCAAGTGATCTGCTCCTATCAATAATGCTGCCAATGGCATCAGGAGTCCTGTGGTCAATTGCTGCGCGTCTGATTACTGCCAGCCTGCTAGTAATACTCTGTTCAGATGCTCGTTTTGAAAGATTTCACTCTTTCTTCCTAACGTAAATGTTGCGGCAACTGAAGGTGAACTTGCAGGTAGCATATCGAGCAGAATGATGGACTCAAGTACCTAGGATGAAATGTGACTTCCCTATTGATTGAGACGGTTGACCTAAATCTTTTGTCAAGTATAAACTGTCATGTGGTTGCCGTTGAGAGACAGAGGATTGCATGATTCGGTGAGGTCGTCTATTATGCCTTGCTGTGTGAAATAATGAGCCTTTCGGGACGACCGTTTGCCATGAATATTTCTTTCAGTGTTCTGTTCGTTTTTTGGTTGATCTATAGTGCATATTTGTGGCTCTGTGGAAGTGTTCTTACCAGGACAAGTTCATAGTAGATGAGTGCAATGACCTGTGAACCGACTATATCATTCATTTCTTGTGACCTTGCGACGAGCAGAGTGCCGAAGGATTCCGTCTGGGTGTCTACTTATTAGAACACAGTTGTCAGGTTTGCAATTGTGAGACACCGAATGCTTTTGTTATTATTACGGAGGTCAGAGATAAACTGATTTGTTGCTCAGACGTGAAAATTAGAGTATCATCAATTTGAGAGCGGTCGATTGCATCACAGCGTGTGTATCTCAGACGGAAAAATATCGACCAGAGCTGGGCCTGATGTACCATCCTTGGTGACTCGATCCAGTTGTCTACTAAGCTTTTCTTTCAAAGCGTAACTGGACATTTTCTGCGCACAACAAAATGAGATCATTGAGAAATACAACTGGAAGTGCAGTTGAATGTTTTGATACAATGCGATCACATAATTATTCAGTCGAACATTGGTCTATAGAGTCGGCGCCAGCAGAAAACATTGTTCGGGGAAGTCAATTGTGTATTTTGATGGACGACGAGGTTCATAAATTTCCTTTCATTGAGCTAGTTCTCCGAGTTGAACTGTTCAGAAATTGGATTTTGCTGTGTGCGGAAAATATTCAGCGCAACTTTGTAGGAAATGCGTATAGACAATTAGATGGGTGGATCGTCTGGTCCAACTCGGGCCGACCTTTTTCTGCCTAAGATAAAGAGGCAACTGCTTTACAGACGTGATGCTGGTAACACTTTTTTGCTCTGACCGGCGACGTAGTTTATATTTTATCTCTGTAATAGTATTCATCAAGACATTTCGATGTACCGTGAACGTGGTGAACAAGGGCCTATTTGTTGCGCTGAGTTCTTTGAGGCCCTTTCTCATTCTTGAATTAATCCGGCTCATCTACCAAAAACCCGCACAAGTTAAGTATCTGATCTACTCTTCTATGGCGTAAATGTTCTAGACAATTATATTGAATATTCGTTTTCCCTCGAGTAGAGAAGCGAATCGCACATCAGCCTCCAGAAAAGTGAACTCAACCAAGTGATTCTGTAATCGATTTCGCCTCAAGAGTTCGACTGTCAACCTTCGTTTGATTTTACCCTTCCACCAATCTGTCGGTTGGAAATATTGATTCTCACTAAAGTGATCCTCCATAAGGCTGACCGAAGCCATCCTCTTGGAGGAATTTCTTCTCAGGGAAATTTGGTCCTTCTGACTATGTATAGGTCTAAAACACCCGTTTGCCACCAATATCCGTATCAAAAATGTATCCACAGTTCCTGAAAAGTGGCACGGTCAAATTGAGATTCACTCATCGATCTTACCGTGTTAGGTATAGTGAGTGATAATTCGCAGTGCCGAATATGGGCCCAACTAGATCGCGAAACAACCTTTGCGCCTTACATTCAATTGAGGGACACCATAAATGAGGTATTCATTCGAAGTTGATGCGAATATATGGTTTTTACCAACGTGTTGTACAATATGTCCTGAGTTATTTGTTGCATTTGTTCTTACACTGAATTGGCCTCCTTTCTGCGTTCATCACCAAAGTTTGTTCGCAGTTTCTCAACCTCTGCTGCGTGATTCAAACGAGTGGGTTGCGACCATCCGCAATGCTGACATTGCAGTCTGATTCGTTTCCGACTCACCCTGTAGTATCCTTCATCTTCACGATTCATTGCCATCAAACCGAAACTGCCTGCAAGACCTCTGTGTTCTGCTATAATTATCTCCAAATGATCGCTCGCTCTTCGTTAATTCTCCAGACGCTTCCTGGCGCAGGGATGAAAACAGCCTCATTTTAGTGTGCTTGCCTCTACTAATAAATACTGCACAACTACACTCCAGGCACATTACCGTATACTAATGTACGAAAAAATGCCATTAAACAAACCAATAAGGTTCAGTATGACTTGTTTTCAGCCGTACGGAACTTATCAAAACGGAGCCGCCACGCGACACCTCCACCTGCCTCAGGTCTGACGGTTTCAGCTAAACCTGATAGAGCAACTGGCGTTATCAAGCACACAGCCCCCCAAAATTAACTCGGATACTAGTGTTCCCTTCACATCACTACCGTTTCGGTGGCCCTTACCGTATTCGCTCATTTCTATAAACACAGGGCTTGGTTTCTTCTTTCTAATCCGATCATGATGGCCACACATGGACATCTTCGTTGACAGAAACGATCGGCAGCGTAGTTCGGTTCAGAGTTTCGAGTATTCTCTGAAGCAGATTTTGTAGCAAAAAAAAACGGACGGAAGTAGTTCTCTCTGATGCATAGTTCTCCGCCACTACTTACTTTACTTTGACCCTCTTTGACACTCTAAAGAGGGATACTGATGATGAGTTTAGTTCAAATTAGCAGGGATTTTCCTCGTATGGGCTTCTGCTGGCGTTCTCAGTGTTGCTGATATCAATATACTAATTTTGATTTCCTAAAGGCCAAAGTTTTTAGTGGTGTACCGGTACCATTGATTAAAGTCGCAGTTCAAGCTCATATCTTCGAAGAGGGGACATCACATGTGAATTGGGTTTTCGGTCTCTTCAGGCATTGGTTTCTCATCAGTAGAGGCTCTTAGGTAAATAGATTTCATCGCTATCTGTTTGGTGTTCGAAACATTTGTGGCTCAAACGAGCTCACCAACATCCGATATTGGTGCTGCGCTAAGTTTTATAGCGTGGAGTGTGTTTATCAGGAGGCTATTTGCAAATCCCCTCAAAATAACCACTTGAAGAGTTCGAATTTATGAAGCGCCGATACACTATCTCTCAGTCGTGCGGTCGCGTTGGAGAGGTAGACGTTACGGGGAGGATTATTTGGTAAGAGTCCGGTATCTATCAGGCACAGAGTTTACGTTGAAGACCAATAAGCCTGTCACGCGGTTGTAAGCCGCATTTCCCTTTGTGCGCACAGTTAACACGACCCTCGATGTGCCTAAGGCACGGGACTACTATGCAAAACCACCTCAGTCCCTATGGTGAACGATGTTGAGGAAGCGGTGACAAATCTGACCATTTTTCCTCAACAGCAAATTTTTTTCCGTCAATTTCGATTGTCAATAATTTAAGCTCCAACTGTTAGATACTCTAGGAACAGTAATGTTGAACGAAGCCCTAATAGTAGAAATAAAGATCACGAGGCCAGGGCGGTTTCACGCCACAAAGCATATGGCCAATTTGCGTTGGTTCCAGCTACGGTTTATTTGAAATGAGGTTGATCAAAGGAGCGGCGGCCACATATTGGAGACAATGACCGGACCAATTCAGTGTCATCGAGCCGTTCTACTTTTGCGAGGTGAAGCTTTGGTCCATGAGCACAGTTGGTTGCATAGTTCCACCAATTGCTCCATATAACCGAGTACCGTTCTACGGAACCCAGTTGATTTACTCGGTCATGGGAGATAAGGGTGTACCTACTGAGCAGAAAACTACACGGAAGACACGATTGGTTGATCAATCAGTGTTTTCCTCATGGACTTTTCTCGCAAACGGTGCTGACTTAACAAATGTACAATTTGGTCATCCAGCGGTTCTTGTCCAGTCGATTCTGATTACTTGTCTTGTGGCGACGATCGCCCGTGGAGGTTTGAAACGTTAAAGAATAAATGTCCACCCCCGATATTCCGTTATCCTCCATAACTTAACGAGAAGACTAAAACCTTAGAATACCATTTTCCACTAGGTATTTTCTCGTCGGTCTGACGCTCTATACAGTAATCGTTAGATGTCATTCACTATATCTCTCCATTATTTTAAGTAGATTTCCATAACTTCATGACTGAAACTGGCTCTTCTTTTCACGTCACCTCTTCAGTTCAACTTGGAGACCAATTTCACGAAATTTCTCAAATAAAGAAACCCTCAACCATAGGTGAGCTTTGTACTTCTATATGATCAATATCCAGTGGCGGAGCCATCTTTTTATCTACAGATGGAGCTACCATAGTCTGCTGGCATCCCCCAAGAACCGTACCGTACGCGTCGACAAGAGTAAGTTAGGTGGAGTTTTTTTTACCTTCTAGCCGTTTCCACGAGACCTCGAGTCTCTGAGAGCACCTGCGTCCCCGTTAAATATCAAGTTAGATAAAATGATGGTAGAAAAACAAGGTGGTCCTACCGTCTTGGAGCTAACCAAGGCTTTTGGTCTTCCGTGGCAGCATTTTCGCCCCAGGTATGTATTTCTCTTGGTTCATATTTTACTTCAGGCCGTTCACCAAAAAATCTTCCCCGTACTCTTGGGCTCCACTGCGAGAACGCAAAGCTCTCTAATTTGTATACGTTCGTAGATATGGTTATATGTCCTTCTGTTCGATTCCGAATAGTTTTTGTTCCGGTTACCTTATTGGATGAGAATAGATCGAATCTGCGATACAATAGAGTGATTTTCGTGAGTTGAAATTCAACCACATCCTAGTGGGTAAACGACCTATCAGCTGTTCAACCTTGAGAGTCTGTCCTCCTGTTACTCGACTTTGGCTGGAGTCCATATCCTGGTGGAATCTTCCATCCGAACGACCTCGGACACTTCCGTTAGAATATTAACACAGATCAGTTATCGGTGGACTCGCGATTCAGATGACAACACACAACTGTGACTTTGAATCGATGCAAAATTTTTTAGTCAGACAGTGGCAGTTGCCACGTTTTTGTAAACCTGGGTAGCACTGGTTCCATGCATTTCCTGAAATAGGTTGATGCTCGACACCACATGACCAAATTATACTCGACCAGTTCTTTATCGGCGTATTTCGTTTGGATGTGCTCATGTCCTACAGCTCTTAGCTCGTTCACACTATTGAGCGTAAGACCAGGCTTTGTCCACTTATGTTCACTAATTAACGTACTAACCTGCATTCAGGTAAGCAAATGGTGGGCCGAACTAGCAAGAACAATTTTTGGTAGTGTTTAGCTACTAATGAGTAGGTTGGTTGACATATTTCTCGACGGCGTGCTGCTTCTCGGGATTGCCCATCAGGTTCGATAAGCTGGTTTAATAAAACCCGTATGTTGACTGTCATCCAAAGAATGTTCAGTCGAGTCTGAAGCTGCAGGAGCAGGGGTTATCCCCACGTGGGGAATTTAGCGCTCTATCCATAGTAGTTAAAGCATGAAACTGGTTTAGCTAGTGCGGTGTTCATTTAGACAATGAGTAATTTATTCCTGGCAGGACGCACTACTCATACGGTTTCTGAAATCTCTTCGACGACCCACTGCAGGTTCCGCCGTTCTCGGAGCGTGGGCATAGCCCAGAGTTTCCATCACCCTTAGATTTTATCTGAACACCGGGTTGTAGGAACTAAAAGTTATGCTAGCGCAGAACATAAGTTCGATGAAAAATCGAGGACCACGTCCACTTGGTGGGCCCCATGAAGGGCAGACCTGTATTGCGCTGTCGAGTTTTCAGTACCCTTATGAGTAGTGCGTGCCGTCAAGAAAATATACAGCAGAAACTTGGGGGCGAACTTTCTGCAGCACAATTAGTTGAAGTATAGTATAAACGTGGGATTCATTTGAGTCTCTCGTTAACCTTAGTGTGATTTGCAAATATTTATCTCGGGAATTCGTGCAACTTCATTGCACAAAACCACCCACCACGGATCATGGCGCTGGAGATTCTGCTTCCTCTGCCGTTTTAATTAACCACAAAATGCCATGTAGGCAAATAGCACGGAAGAGCTACTCAGCCTTTGTCGCTCCGTTTGCCATAAATTCTTCTCTTACCTAATGGTTGGCTTGGCACGAAGCTCCCTATCAGTCTGGTGCACAGATGTAACAATGCGTTTTGTTCGGCGTTCTGGTGGCAGTTACGTGGAGTAACAATGGGTGAATGTCTAAGGTGGTTCACCAGGTTTGTAGTTTTGGAACAAACATGGGTTACAGGCTCTTCTGATCTAGCTTTTAACCATCCGAGGAAACTGGCTTTAGAGATGGTGACCATCGGTATTTGCATTTCATCTCTAAATATTTGCGGGGTTTTGCGAAGTAGTATTCTTATATGATGATGTTGAGTCTGCAAAGTCTATGGCTGAGCCTGGGACTTTACCAGGCTCACCAGTTCATCTTTACTGATGAACTTTTTACACCACACAGTCTGTTACCAATTATTACGCTGCCCTCGAAAATATTTTTCCTCGTCGGCGTAAGATCACAGCTCTGGAAGGCGAAATGAAAGATCTCCGTTACAGAAGAATTTGCTCAATCCTTTTGAACCATCAGGTGATTAAATGGCGTGATAACAACAAATGTTGAAGGTCCTCTTGATGGAAGTGTCTAGAAGATAACAGGTTTGTGTAACGTAAACATAATATTATATAGTGCGAACATAGGAGAACGCATCTCGGGTAATTTAGCATGCACAAGCTCTCGAGAAGTCTGACTGCAGTGCGCTCGAATACTCATTTTCATGGAAGAAATAACAAGATGTGTAAGGCAGACGGGTTACTCTTGGGATATGAACAAGGAAGACAAAATGGTGGGGGCGGGTCTGTGGAAATTGTCAACAATATTGGCGATGTATTTCACGAACCAAGTGCCTAAATTTACGCGACGGGCATGTGCAGAGTGAAGCCAAGGTGGAATCAATTAGTACCAGTGTGTTTCATGAAATCTGTTTTTCTGAAAAAAATTACAGGTCAGAGGGGGGAATGGATCGGCGCTCTGTGGTGAACTAGGGTGCTGCACGGATCAATACATTTGTAAGCTTGATCATAGGTATGTAGGCGGTTTGGTTCCTGTAGTGTGTTTAGCAAGAAATAGCATAACATAAGCAATGTGTGCTTGCACATATTTAGTGCAATATATCGGTGCAACTCGAAAGGTACATCCAACAGGCAGGTATATATCCTCAAAATCGGCCTAAAAAACGGCGTGCAACAACCACTCTATCGGTGCTATCTAATATGCATGTGAGTGCAATAGAAGTAACAGGAATGATTAGTGATGAGAAGACTTCAGAAAATGCCAGTTAAATATAAAAAAAACCTGCTGTATGAATTCGTTAAATTTAACCTCAAAATATCTGAAAGCCGCGATGAACGAGACCTTGTTTTCTGCCTTACATTGCGCTATGAAAATTGTTCAACTAAAATTTCACGCAGAAAATCGCGGTGAATGAAGGTATTATGGGACCACTTGGCTTTCGTCCAAGACTTGGCTGAAATTTCGCATTCAAGGTCGGCAGGGAAAATCATATTTATCTCCAACTAGGCTAGTAGTGCGCTTCTAACTCATTGGTTCTTTCCATTCTCCCTCCCTCGAGCGTTGCCTGGATGGGGCAAAATCACTTGTTTTCCTGAGCGAATTAATGGGATGGATATTTTGAGCCTCATCATCATCATCAAAGACAGCAACATTCGTGTTGGCACTGACGCTTCACTGACGTACAACCATAAAGTTCGTCTAGTTTATATATATATATATATATATATATATATATATATATATATATATTTGTATTCAAAACCCC